CTGCTGGGCTGTTTGCTCAGGCATGAAGCAATAGCAGGTGGAGGAAATTCAACTTGCAAAATCTTGGATTTCTCCAACAGAAAAAGATGAGAAAACCCCACCAACATAAGGCTTCACCAATGCAGGCTTTTTTTTCCTCAGAAACTGCAACTAGTTTTGTGTGTGTGGAGCACTTGGCAGCTCCAGGTGTGTTTGGAGGCCTTGAGGGCACTGAGGGGACCTGGATGTGCCTTCCCTCCGGAGGGCAAATAAACCTCCGGAGGGGTGGATGGGTGGTGGTTGTTCACCCCCAGGCTTCAGTTCACACTGGCCTTGCTCCCTGCCAGGGCACGGGGCTGGCACAGGGGTTCACATGTGCTCTTGGGGGGGCAGATACTGGGGGGGATTTGGTGGGAAACGGGGCCTTGGGTACGAGGCAGGAGACCCATCAGTGCAGTGGGCTCAGGCTTTTAACAAACTACATAAATTACAAGGTCTTCAAATGCAGAATCTCCTCATTTAACAGTGCCCTAGAGCTCCTCTAACGTTGGCTTTGTATTTAAGTGTGGTGAATGATTTATTAGATGTGTTTGCTTTAGCCCTGACCGCAGCGCGGTTCAGGACCGGCAGCTCTTGTGAGGGGCAGCCCCAACCCAGGTGGGTTTTAGTGCCAAAGCTGACCTGGTGCCATCACCCAGCACCTCATCCTGCCCTGGGGCGTCCCAGCACTGCTGGGAAGGGGTGGAGCAGCAGGTGAGCAAACACGGCTCAGCCCCTTCCTGCTGCTCCTGTCGCAACCGGGACCAGCCAAGGCAGCGTCTGTGGTGCAGCATAACTGGTTTTTTTCCCTCCTCCACCCTCTTTTCCTCCCTCTTTTTGCCCCTTCATGTTGCCTTTTCTTTCCCCTTTTCCTTTTTCTTTCCCTTTCTCCCCTGCCTTACAATTTCCCTTACAGTTTGTTTCCCTTATCTTTTGTTTGTTTCCTTTACAGTTTTTTCCCTTACAGTCTGTTTCCCTTTTTCCCTCTCCTCCTTGTCCCTTCCAGTTTTCCCCCCTTTTTTTCTCCCCCTCCCCCCTTTTTTTTTCTTTCCCTCTTGCTCTGGGCACTGTGTCAGGATGGGGACATGGATGAGGCAGGGGGTGATGGGGTGATGCACAGCAGTGGGGAACCATCAGGATCCCAACCTTGTTGTGCATTTAGCATCGTGCTGAGGGTTGGGCAGGTCATGGAAGGGTTTGGGGTGTGGGTTTGGGGGAACCTGGGCTGTCACACCAATATTGTCACCCCTGGGAGATGGGGGTTATTTCTGCACCTCTTGCCCACTTGGTTTCCTACGAAGAAGCAAAAAAAAAACCAAACCATTTTCCAGTCCAGTTTCATTGCCTCAGTTTTAAATATTTATTTAAAGTCCAAAAAAAAAAAAAGGAAAAAGAAAAGGAAAAAAAAGCTTTAATGAGAACAAATGGTAACTGCAGCCTCAGGAAAAACACATAAAACCAATGGCAAGGGATGAGAGATGGAGAGACCTGCAGTGTGAGGGGTGTGCAGGGAGGCAGCGAGTGATGGGTGATGGTGATTTTGGCCTGGGGGTGAGGTATTTCTGGCAGGGGGCTGCGTGGAGGGCGAGGTATTTGGGACAGATCCTGTTAACCTTTTCCGATGGTTGTTGGAAACCAACCAGCAGGCAGTAGTTAAAAAAAAAAAAAAAGAATACACGAAGAGAGACTCACAGATAATTTTTTTTTTCTCAAAAAAAAATAAATTCCATAGTCCATATGAGACATGAAAACTCCAAACAGGCACTGAAGAGTTTCTGATACAGTACAGCTCTGATTACATCAATATTATTCCTTATATAGAATTAAAGATTACCATAATTATCCTCTTTAAAAAAAAAAATCCTCCAAATTTACATATAGAGACTAAATTTCTACAAAACTTAACAAAACAAAACCCCTCCAAGCTTGGCTGGGTTCTGAAACAAGGTACCATCATGTCAGTCTTGACAGAGGGGCCGAGGGAAGGGTTGCAGAGCTGGGTTTAAATATGAGCTTAGCCCAGGGAGTCGCAGCTGGCATGGACACAGGGCCAGTGCAGCTACAGCCCAATGAGTTACACGATAACTGACTCAAAAATAGCTCTCTGAGGCTCAACACTTCCAGATGAGCTGTGTCCCTCACTCCCCTCCCAAAGCAGTGAAGTGCTGATGAACAAAAAAAAAAAAAAAAAAGGCAAATTTTCTTGTAAAATATCCTGTAGGTGATTTTGGATGCAGTGGGAGTTGTCACATGTGATTGACATCCACGGCTGCTAAAGGATCCCTTTTAAGGTGATTTGTTTCTCTGATTTAGCTGTGGACTGTAAGCTCCTCTCTTCCCAGAGAGAGGTGATCCTATGGGGCTTTTTGTTCTTGGGTCTGTGGCAAGACACTGTAGCACCTTCACAACCTTAAATAGTTTAAAGTCATATATATAAAATAACACACTTTTTTAAGAGCACCAGAGATTTCACAGTGAGAGGTAGAAACAAATCAGACGAGCCCATTCCCTCTCTCTATTTTAGCACCAATCTCTTCCCCTCTCCTCCTTCCATTCCCCACTCTTGGCTTCAGGACTCTCCCCCTACCCCAACACCACATGTGAGAGGGGATGTTGATCAAACTCATGGAAGGAGGAGGAACTTAGCTTTTTTTTTTCCTTTTTCTTTTTGCTTTAAATAATATAATATATATATTTTGTTTCTTCTAATATTGCACATCAAAATGCTTCCTGTACACAGAGCAGCCCAGATTCAACTTGCAGCTCCACCTGGGAGCCCTGATGCAGCACGTGGCCGTCCAGAAGGCGACAAGCTCTGAGAGGGAAGCTCTATTTTTTTTTTTAATCATTTTTCTCAATGGAAAGAACATTTGGTAACTCAGGAACCAGACAAAACGGGTGGTGGTGGCGGGGGAGAAACAACAAAAAAACCCACACGCTCCAAGTCGCTTGAGGTTTCTCTCAATGTTTTCTTTGGTCATGGGAAAAGCTTTGTGTGTGGAACCGCAACATCCAGTCCCCTGATCCCTTTTCACTGGTCACGTCCCGACTGACGCCCGCTTCCCCTACGTCCTTGTTCTTCCTCCTTTCAACAACCGGCTGAGTTCAGCAGATCACGGGTTCTTTGAGACCTTGAGCCAAAGGCTTAGAGCAAGAGTTGACCCAAAAGATACAGCCCAGCTGCCCTTGCTGCAGAGAGGTGGGAGAGCCTGTGTGAGGACAGGCCAACCGTGGGGTCGGAGCCTCGGAGCCCGGTTTCCATAGCTTGGTTCAAAGGAAGCAGACGGGGCCGACCTCGAGGTGATATTGCTTTCCTGGCTCGGATGGGGGGAGGTTGTAGATGTTGACAATTGGCAGCTGCTGAGGGTCCTGTGTCCGAAACGAAAAGAGAGTCCGATGCCAGCGTCCATCCTTGATCTGTGCAGGGAGAGGGGACAGAGAAAAAGCTGATGAGCTGGGGGTGAATCCTGCTGGACAGGAATGTGTTTCACAAGACAAGGGACTGTTCTTCTGGCTGAGCAGGTCTGGGGTGGGGTTTAGAGAGCATTTTGGGGAATCCTTTACCAGGCTGATGAAAATACAATTTGGGTGGTACCACCAACACAAACTCCTAATTCAGTGAGCCCAAATGCAGCCCTGTGGCTCTCAGCTCTGCATGGCATCAGGCAAGAGCCACGTCCACCACCCACGGGTGGCCATTCCCCTTCTGCCATTTAACTGCTGCTGCATCTCACATGTAACTTTGGAATTTAGTTTTTTGCTTTCTGTCTGAAGGCCATCTACTTCACAGGAGCTGCTACTGCATCCTGGACTGGAAAATTAGTGGTGAACAGGTAAACCTGACCCTTCTCCCCTTTCTCTGTAGAATGAGCAGCACAGGTGTAACTTGAGCCTTGTTGTGAGCCCTGAGTGGGCTCAGCCTGGCATTTCTCTCCACCTCTTCCCTCTTTAGGAGCAACATACCTTGCAATCATCAGCTGCCACTTCTGGCCTGAGCTGCCCCCCTGCCTCAAACATCTGCCCGTTCCAGGCCTTGAAGCGCACGGCTTTGTCCGAGGGTTTCTCGGAGGAGCCTTCCCGCCAGACGGAGGTGTTCAGGCAGTGGATGGTGATGTGCTGCACCACCTCGGAGCTCAGCAGGCGCAGGAAGTTCATCTGGACTCTACCGATGTCAAAATCCAGCTGTGAAGGTGACAGAGAGGTCAGGGGTGCCCTGCAGAGGGGCTGGGGGGAGCTGGATCTGGCACGAGTATGGGCGTGAGGGCCAGATGCCAAATCAGTTTGGAAAGTTTTTGTGGGGACACAGCTGGTCCTTTAGTTTGCAGAACAAAACTGGAAGGTCCTTAAGTAGAAGGAAAACAATGTAAAGTTTGACTTCAATACACACTTCTGCAAAGCAGCAGGTGCCAGTTCATCTGCAAATGAACCTAGATATTGATATTTGTATTTTTGGTGCAGGTGCTTCCTCAAGAAAACCCTGTAGCACTAACTTCACTGGAAACTTGTATGTTTAAGCTGACCTCACTTTTTCAGGTGGCAAAAAGCAAAATGCAAGAGTGACCTGAACATAAATTAATTCAACAAAGGATTTGGGAGCAGCGTGTTTGCAAAATTAGTGGTCTTGTTAAGGTTATGGGTTCATTAAACATCGCTGGAACTTATAGTTCTGTCTTGACAAGAGTCAATAAGCATCTTGGGTGTATTTTTTTAACACAAGAGAGCAGTTCTCAGTGTTACAGCTGCACTAACTCTGCCTTGAGGAGAAACCTGTGTGCTGTGTCATTGTGGTCACCGTCCGGTGTCCCAGGACAACACACCCCTGTGTAAATATTCGGCAACAGCAGGATGGGAAGTGCCACTCTGGGGTTGAGCTGTGCCTACCTTGGAGACAGTGATGGGGCTGAGACACGTCTGCCCACCGTTGGTGAAGTTGCAGGTGACCTGGATGGTGTCTGAGGAACAGCCAAGATTTGGGTCAATCCAGTAGGTACCTGAAGAAATGGAGGGTTTGGGGATTAACAAGGACACTTAACCTTTTCTGTGAATGAGAGAAGGGGAGTTTTGGTTACTCTGTGACTGGTCCCAGGGAAGGAGACCGGTTTGGGCCATATGAAACAGCCCTGTGGAGGATGCAGCCTTTGCACACTCAGGGCTCCCTACCATCGTTCATCTTCTGTTCACAGTTCATGAGGTCCCGGCAGATTCGTGCAGGGTTTTCCTTGGTTCCCAGGGGTCTTTTGATGCTCTGAATGAGGTTGCTGAGGTAGTGTAGAGTCTTAAAGATCTCCCCTCCATGGTCCAGCATGAGAAGGTCTGGATGTTGGTAACCCTGGAGAGAAAAGGAGAAAAGGGGTGCCTTGGGGACACCAGGTGCTGTAAGCACAAGGGTTTCTGCATCATTTGTGGGGAAATCAGTGGGTCAAAGAGAGGCTGTGCTGGCTGGGATCCTGCTGTCCCAAGTAGGACATCATTGAAGCGCTGGCAAAGTCATGATGGCAAAGTCACAAGTCTGAAACTTCACAAATGAGTGACGCAACAGAACCATATCCTTTAAACTGGATCTCTGCATACATAAACTCCAACTATTCCACAAGAACATTAATAAATCAGAGCTTTGTGTGTATAAACCCTGAACACACAGATAACACTGTTGTGACCATTCCTAGCCTCCAGCTCCAGCAAAGACCAGGGAGTTTAAAAATTCACTCTTACCTCTGTCTTGAGTGCGGTGTTCGAGTCGATGAGTGTCTGGAAAGCTGTCCCAAAGCCATCTTGTTGCTAGTGGAGGGCAAAAAAGATGATAACTGAGATTGCCAGAAGCTGAACATGCCCTGATGCAAACAGTTGCTTCTCAATCTAAGACTGCAACTCAAGCATTGCCCTGCCAACACAGCAATTTCTGCTGCACCTGAGTGTGTGCCTTCAGGGTCCCAGCAGCTCTTGGAGGATGTCCCAGCAGCACCTGGGCTCTACAGGACTTATTGTCATCATTAACAAACATACAGAAAATGGCAACTTACAAACGAGGCTGCAATTCCTGGCGGTCCCTGGAAATCAAAGGGAAAAAGGGGCATCAGCCAGAAAGCTGGGCAGTCACCATTGCACAGATATTCAGTCATGGCCTTTTGAAATCCTCGTTTCCCTGGAGCCCCTCAATGCAGAGGAGTGAGAGGGGCAACAATGCTGTCTCTATAAAACACTTGGAGATGGTTTGGAGTAAAGCACAGGGAACACTAGTCCATTCACACACAGAGTTTTGCATACGAGGAATGGGGCTAAGCTATAATTTCCAGTGAGTGAACAGTCCCTCTGGAGAATATCATGGCAATAATTTTAGCTTGTTTCAATACTGTCTTTGAACTCTTTCCACACATACATACCGGAGGGCCAGGATGTCCTCGTGGGCCTGGAGGACCCTAAAGACAGAGTGGCATCAGTTAGTGAAATATCTCCAGTTTGTATTTCCATTCCTGTTGTCATCAGCAGGAATCTGTTCCCAGCTGAAATCCTTTGGATATCTGACACCTCCCAGCAGCTTCTCCCTCAAACCCTTCAAGAGACAGGAGTTGGCCCCATTTTGTCCACATCCCAGCTGCGGGTGCATCTGCCGCCTTCTGGCCCATTCCTACTGCATCCCTTGCTCCCAGCCCTTCCAGCTCCTCAACTGCCATTAATTCCTTATCCCCAGGTACTTGTCACATTCCCTGTGTGCACAGTAACCCACCCTGCAGCTTTACATTTGCTAAACTGTAAAAGCAACTGTTTTATTTAAATGCAAGGCATCAGTCAGAAAAAGTGATATTGAATACTTACCCTTGGACCTTGCAGACCCTGCAGAAAAATAAAAAAGAAGAAAAAAAGGCAGAAGCTGTCAGAAGATGCTCATTACTAATCCCAAATCTCCCTGTGCACCCATGTGCTGTTCCCAAGGTGCCTGTGCAAGGGCTGGGTGCTGCACTGGAGGGACAGGGGATCTGCCAACAGCAGAGAGGTTATTGCAGAGGATGGTGATGGACCTGGCACCAGTGAATGCTCACTCTGGGGTGGAGGTCCCTGTCATCACAGTGTCCTCTGCTGTGCCCATGGAGGTAGGAAATGTGAGCAGGAAGAACCAGAGGCTCCCTCGTGGGAGCCTGATGCCACCACCCTGAGCCTGAGCCCGGGTGGGTGCAGCAGAGCCTGGTGTGACTCTTGGTTGCTCAAAGGGAGGGACCCTCTTAGGGACATCCAGGGGTGGGACCAACACTTACCATTTCCCCACGGCTGCCTTTGTCTCCCTTGGGCCCCTGTAAAGCACACGGGGTGTCTGTCAGTGACTGTTCACAAGCTGCACTGCTGAGTGTTGCTCCCCAGAAGCTCCTTGCAAGGATCCAAGTGCATCTCTGACACATCAGCTCAGGTTGTTATACTGGCCCCTCCATCCCCAGGCACAAAAGCACCATTACTGGATGTTTGGGCAATGCCCAAGTTCATCTTGTTGGTTTTCCCCTCTGCCAGTAGCAGACTCTGGACTGAACTCTGAGTAGTGTCATGTTCATGTTTTTATGAAGCACTGACCTGACTTTTAGTCTGTGTTCAGTGCTTTTGGCATTTTGGGGCAGGCAGGGATGTTCAACACTTCCTAGAATCAAATGTTTGCCAGTTTACTACACTTATCAGTTTGGTTTGTGTTCTTTTGACCCCTCAGGCCAAGTTCTTTGGGAAATCTGGCAGTTTGCTTTTGAAATCTGCAATAACATTTTTGCCTCCTAGTCTGAGCCAATCTACAGAAAACCTTAGGCTGAGTTGCTCCTCGCTTTTAAGCTAATAATCTTCTTGCAACCATCTATGCAGCCAGAGACTAAGCCTGCACTTTTCTGAAGCTGCTGATCTTAAAACCCCTTTTGTTTTCTTCATTTAATGGGATTTACTTATGCTGGCCTCAAACATCTTGGATCTCACGCACTGTGCTCCTCTGAAAAATACAGGCAGAAAAAAGCACAGACACTTACTGGGCTTCCCGTGGGACCCTGAATGCCAAGTGGACCAATAATTCCTTCTTTTCCCTAGAAAATAAAAGATATGTGTGAATCATCACATGGGAACTGATGGTCACTTTTAGCAGGGCAGACTCAGTGAAGACACTGAGCCTCTTTGCTACACGATGGTGGTATTTGCTGTAGCTGGAATAAAAAGCTGTTTCAAAGTGCAAGTCCAAAGAGACAAGCCCTCGCAGTACAGTTGCCACAACCCATGTTAAACCTCAGAAATTCCAGAAATAGAAAGGTTTCAGTGTAGCTGGAGTGGTCTGTGCACCATGACTGCCCAAGTCCCGTGTAGATGTGGTCACTGTGCTGCTCACTGTGCTCCTCACAGCACCCTGGAGCCTCAGAAACAGGGGTGGAGGAAGGAAGAAAATCCTCCCAAACCAATAAACTGGAAAACCACTCACCATGAGACCCGGTGGCCCACGTGGTCCCTGAATACCTTTGAACCCAAGGTCTCCTGGGGGGCCCTGCAAGCAAAAATGAGATCCACTAAATAACCAGACCTTGTGTTGATGCCCTTGCTTACAGCTCTGCTGCAAGGATAAGGTGGTGCTTCCTATATGGGAATAGGAAGGTCCAAGTTTTTAAAAATTCTTTTCCCATTTTTGTTTTGCAAGGCCTTTACTTTCTACCGAAAAAAGACAGTTCCCTCTTTGCCAGGAAAATTATATAATGATAAAATGGGTCTCAACTTCAAATCAAGGCCCTCAGTGTTCAGGATGCACATCGGTGTTTCGGGTGCAGGCTGATGACAGATGCTGGAAATACAAAGGTCTGAGAGATGTTCAGAAGGGAAAAACAGCCATGGAGTCTCTAGGACAGCCCTTTCCCCCTCTAACAGCTGCCCATTTTAACAGGAATAAATTCCTGCATATATTTACACACACTCATTTAACAAATATATATATATTAACACACACTCATTTAACAAATAAAGATGCATAAACTGAAGAAAGCTGGGATCATGATTCAATTTCCACAGTTTCTGCAGAGCAGATACTAAAGTCTTTGCAACAAGTATTGTGTTGTCTGTCCCCAGTAAAGAAGGACCAGAAAACCAGCTGATCACAAGCAGCCTCTTACCTTTGGCCCAAACAAGCCTGCAATCCCTGGAAATCCTGCCTCTCCGAAGTCTCCCTGCAAGTAACAGCCAAGACAAACACAAGGACAAAGCACAACAGTAAGTTCACAGTGATGGCTGGTCACTCAGAGACACACCAAGAGTTGAGCTGCTTCAAAGAGAAATCCATGACTATCCTTCAGTCTAAGCAGGAGTGAGGAGGAGGAAGTATGAAAGAAATCTGGAGGAGGAACTACACAAACAGCAATCTAGAAGCAACTCCAGAAGATCTCATAGACCTGTAGATCTCTTAGATCTCACAGACTAAACCTTTTTGCCCCCAGACAGGAGGAATACATGCACTATTTCTAGCAGATGCTTCTCTGGTTTGGCCCACAATCAGTAGAAGCAGGATGGAGAGCATCTGCTCTGAGATTGATCTTGGAAGTTCATGCTGAAAAAAAATAGCCTCAAAGCCCTTTAAAGCAAGCTCTTCTTTTATTTCCAATACCAACTGAACTGACCTTTTAAAGGATAATTTCAAACTATGCTCATTCAAGTTGTTAAAAAAGTGTGCGTTCCTGCAATATAACCTCCCACTCAAACCCGGGAAAACCATGCATGTCCCCTAATTCTTTTCCTATTTAACTCTGCAGGGATTTTTGCTCAATTTTGTAAGAAAAATAATAATAAAATATTTGGAAGGCCATCAAGCTTGAATCAGCACATAGCTTGCACTCTGAGAATAAAAAACCCACCCTGGGTAGCATGTCCTTATGTAAACACCCTCCTTTCACCACATTTGAGATGTTTGTCCTTTGATATTTCCGAGCTTCTCAGATGTCAAAATGCAAAATGATTCAATGTTAAAAAAAAAAAAGGGGGTCAGAAACCTTCACCAGATGATTCATCTCCAGTCTCAGGAACATCAGAGATGGAAAAAGCTTGTTTGGCCTCTCGGCAGGACTGTGTGACCCGTGATGGATTGTGCTTTACAGGGTGTTTTACAATGACTTGTTCAGCCCAGCTGTAAATGACCCAAGCAATGGGGTTTCCACCACCTCTGTTACAAAGCTGTTCCAGAGTCAGTTTAGAAATCTCACTGTTAGGAAGTTTTTCCTGCCACAACAGTGAGAAACTGCTTGGCAAGGAAGGGCTTGGTTGGACTCGGTGGAGCGTAAGAAACTTTCCAAGGATACAAATTGATTTAACTGCCCATTTATGGATCCTGGAAAGCAAAACTGCTACTAACGGAGGACTAAGGTCTTCCCTGCATTAGGAGAATCAACCAAGCCCTCTTTTTAGAGGGATTTCAGGCAAAAGCAAAAGAAATTAGGAGGGTTTAAATGCTATGGAGTCATCTCAGCCAAGGGGACCTGGTCACTGTCCCTGCAGCGAAGCAGCAGTGGCAATACAGGGCAAATGAACATGTCACTTGTGGACATCTGAGACAAAATGGCCTTGTTATGGTGGTGTTGGTTATTATCTTTCAGCTTGAATACTGCCATCACAGGGTGTTATGTAAAATATACAAACAAAGTATTTTAGTTGAGGTAGTTGGGGTTCACCTTGTTTTATACTAGTCCTAATCTCTCTCCTATAACCATGCACAAGCTGGATATGGGGTCCCCTAAAGACCCTCCCAGGGTTCACCCTGCTGTCCCAGCCTGTGGATCCGCACCCTCTCCTGCAGGAGACAGCCTGGAGTCAGGTGTGATCAGCTCCATCCCCACTAACCGGCTGTCCTTTGGGTCCCGGGTCGCCAGGGTTCCCTGGAAGGCCCGTTCCTCCCGGTGATCCTCTCTTCCCTGTTTGGCCAGTCTGTCCAGGCAATCCTCTTTCACCCTAAAAATAAACAGATTTTCCTGTTATTCCAAGGGGCAGGAGCTAAATATAACAACAGTCAGCAGAAATAGCCATAGATGGAAAGCTGGAAGAGATGGTTCAGTGGGATAAGAAATGTGGTTGCATCAGGGGATGCCCCTGGTCTGCTAAGGTGGGTTGTTCAGGATGCACAGGGTGAGACCAAGGTGGGCCTGGCCATGTCCCCTCCTGGGCTCCCCACAGAGCAGGAGCTTCAGCAGAGCTGTCCTGCCTGCGTGGGCTGAGGAGAGAATGGGGATGAGTTGTCTTCTCTTTGCACTTTGTACATTCTTTGTCCTGCCCTACAGTTTGCCATAATCTCTTCCCCCCAGCAGGCTGGTAATTGATGATTAATCCATGGAAAATGCTGAAGACATGCCAAGACTTCAGCTGGAGGACTTCAATCCAGAGGCTGAAAAGCCAACATTCTCCCCTGCACTGATTCCACAACTTCAATCCAGAGAGGGGCTTCTGTGACCCAACACCACACTTCGCTCTCCTCCTCTTCCCCTTGCCAAGTGCCAGGAGCAACAAGAGGTGCAGCAGGTGAGAGCCTGGGATGGCTGAACAGCTGAAAAAGGGGCAATGAATTTCCCTGGAGGCAGGATATGAGTCTGTGACAAGGACACGAGGGTCTGTCAGCCACCTCTGGTCACAGCCTGTTGTTCTGCCCGAGGCAGCTGGAGGGCAGCAAGTGACAGTTTAAGGGCGATGTGCTGTGGAGCCCTAATTTAAATCAGATCCCAGAGCCTCTCCAAACCCAGCTGGAGTCTTCCTATTTACAGAGTCTCTCTACAAAAGGCCGAATTGCTGTGGGTCTAATTTAGGTCCTGTGGCCAGTCTGGATCAGGGCAAGGACCAGGAATAAACCCCGAGGTCACTGAAGCAGCTTGTCCCTGCTTCCACCCAGCGTGATGTCCAAGTCCATACTGCTTCCAGTCATTATATATTAATTATATATTATATATTTACCCAGTAAATATATGCTAAAACTCAAGCAGCACAAATTTCCCTTCAGCAGTTCAGGCCTTGTAGAGCAGCTAGAGGAAACTCAAATTTTCCACGGAATTGTCCATCCTGGACATTCTACAGGTGGGCTCTAGCAGTTCCTCTGCAAAATCTCCATTTTTTTTCTAGCCAGGATTCTAATGAAAAAAGATGGAAGTGTTTGTAGTGTGGGTATGTGTGTCTGTAGGTTCCTGAGCTCGGTGACAAGGGAGGAAAGGTTTCTGGGACATTCAGCTGCTGTGACCACCATGAAAGTGGGTGGATGGATGGATGGATGGATGGATAAAGAGACAGGCCTACAGAGCCTCTAGCTAAGTGAAAGATGGCAGCAGGAACTGAGACTATATTAGACCTTGGAGATTCCCACCTCTAGAGACATCAGGCTACAGACTGGATTACTCACAGCAATATTTTAGGGAGTCAGAAACTCACCTTGAATCCTGGTGGTCCCTGTGCCCCGGGGAGGCCTGGCACACCTGGGTTCCCTCTCTTGCCTGACATCCCGGTCACACCTTCTTCCCCATCATCCCCCTGCTCTCCCTAGAAAAGAAACCCAGAAGAGGTTATGAAACAAGATGTTCTTTCCCCCTCTGCACAGCTTCTGCCCTCAGCAGGCACCATCCATCTGGGCAGGGGCGGGTTTGCAGATGTGGACAGATTTCTGTGCATGCACGTGTCTGTCAGACTACAAACCCCACTTCATTTACAGACCTGGCCATGCAAAGGCAGCTGCTGCCTCTGTGTGCACATGAGGTGTGAGGAGGATCCACCCTGGGTACGTGTAAACAGGAATATCCATAGCTGGGTAACGCAATTTCTCCTGTGCTCCCTTTTAGTTTTCCAGCTCCTAAGCTGCATTTGTTATTGATGCCAAAAGGTTGTAATTGAAACTCACCAGGATCCCGGGCACACCATCCTTCCCAGGCACTCCGTCCACTCCAGGGGCTCCCTCTTGACCCTGCCTTCCCACCACTCCTCGAGGACCTGGTAGCCCAAGGATGCCCTGAAATTACAGAGATGTTAGAGATGAAGCTCCCAGACAGCATCTCCTGGGGCAGAAAGTTGAATTTTCACCTACCGGTGAGCCTCTGCTCCCTGCACTGCCCCGTGCTCCTTGCTTTCCTTTTTGACCCTGCAAGCAAAAACAGAAAGGCATCTAAGATTGCAGCAGTTCTAGCACAACTCCACTTTTGAGCCTGACTTCAGGGTGTGCTTTTGGATAATGACTGGAAAGAGTTTTATAAAAAAAAGGAGATTTATAAAGTCAGTTGCTCCAGCGCTGGGGAATGAACTGCTATTTAGTTTTATTACAAGTGATTCTTCGTATGTCCTGAGAGTTCTAGGGCAGGAATGAATAGCTAGGAGGCAAGGACCTACATTTTTCCTAATACAGAGCAGATGAGGACAAATAAAGCAGGATGAACTCAAGGGAGGACTGAGTACACTGGCAAACATTAGAACAAGATGCTTAAAACCTGCGTCCTCCATCGGTTCATTGACAGTGTGGTGCAGAACCCAGGACCTGGAGAGTCTTCTGGGGGCATTCAAGGGGAGCTTCTCTCTGAGAGGTAGCCTCCTCTGCTTTGGAAAGTTAATGGAAATGAAAATGGGTTCTGAAATTTGCAATGCTGTTTTGTGGACAAAGGCATAAAAGAAATACTCCTGAGGTTTATTAGCCATAAAAAGGATTAATTTCTGCAGTATGAATGGAAAACTCAGCCTCACCACCTTCACCGGGGCTCCCTCAGTGAGGTCATGTACTAAAGCACTTTTAAATCGAAGAACTCATTTTCTGTGCATTGTTTCTCCATCTGCAGAGGACCAGGCAGGCCTGGTCCTGAAAGAAATATTCCTGGGGGTGCTTTCCTTGCTATTCATTAGGCCCAAAGGCAGTTCCAGATTGTCCATCGATGGGCAGAGTTTATTCATCTTATCACCTGGTATGCTTTTTGCCAAAAAGACCTGAAACTATCTTCTGGCATTACCCCAACAGGGTCAGGTTAAAAATCCTGACATCTGCCAAGAGAGAGCAGGAATTTGCTGAGTATTGAGTTCACATATTTATGTTTCAGCAAATAAAGTCCCTAATCTGCGAGAACAATTAGCAAGCCTTCATTACAGCCAGATGTGGAGGTAGGAGCAGGTATGAGGTGCCCAATGAACCCCGAAGGACCCATGTGTGTTGTGTTTTCTAGCTCAATAAGGACAAGAAGTTGAAGGGGCTCTTCCAAGAAACATAAGTGCATGGATAATGGACTCCAAACCCGGAAGGTTTCATGCCAGAAAAGTTTATGGTTCAAGTAAAAAAGAGAGACTCTTGCCTGGCTCAGACCTCCTTTGGGACAGACGAGCCAGCTGTGGCTGGAAGCACCACGAACTGGGGCATGGGAAAGAGACACAGCCCATGGCAGGGACCAAAGACCTGCCCAGGAGTCACCCATCATGCTGGGGCTGTAATTGTCTTGGTCCTCTCCAGCTCTGCAAAGCCAACAAACCATTGGGCTTGGACACCCAAACACATGTTTACAGCCCTCCCACAAGGTTCTCCACAGCCTTTCAAGGCACAGACCATGGGAAAAATCACACATGAGAGTCCTCTTAATTAGACATTTTCTTTAAACTTGAGACACTATAAATCCACCCTGCTGAAACCTACCACATCACCTTTGGATCCCTTTGCTCCTGGCTTGCCTGGTGATCCAGGATCCCCCTACAAAACATAAGCAAGAAAAATCTGCTTAAAATTCTCTTCTGGCACTATCTTGCACGAAGTACAAAGAACAGCATTTTTTGTGCCCTAACAACACTGACTGTATGGAAACAATTCAGGGGAACAGCCTGTGCTCAGACAGGCCCCTGGGGAAAAAGGAGAAAGGAACTGTCTCCAGAGAGCATTTAACAGGGTGTCAATTGGAGAAGAAGCAAGTCTACCCCTCACTTGGGTGGTACTTGTATTTGCGGGAATCATTCACCAAATTCCAGATGGTGGCTGGAGAACAGTGCTGAGAAGTGGGCAGGAAGCAGCTTGTGTGCAGAAACTATGTGCAGAATGAGTAGTTTACACAGTGACTACATCGTTAGTGTGGTTCTGCTGCAGCCCTTCCTTGGTTTCACCTGGATATCAGGTGTTAGAGAGCTGCCTATGGAGGAGCAAAGCAGAGAGAGTATTTAACTACTCTCTTACTGGTCTCTTCCTCATCACACCCACCTCCATCTTTTCTCCTGGCTGTCCAGGTTTGGGTTGTCTTGTGTATTTGTGTCAGTGGCAATTTCTGCACTAACATCGAAGATATAAATGGTAAGGAAGGACTCAGTGCAGAGTTCTCCTTCTTCAGCCTGTTTTTGAGCCACGTATTTCTAATGGGTCTTTACCAAGGACAATCCAAATCTCCTGCTGCCATCTGAATCACTGACATCTGAGGGGATATCACTCCCCAGATAAACTACATCCACTGGGGAATGTAGCAGCTCTACTCATTCCTAGGCCATATGACAAAGCACTAAGACTTCACCCCAAAATAGAATCCGTTCCTCCCAGTGGCCTTATAAAAAGTGGGAATTGATTCAACTTTATTTTCCAATACAAACTACATTCAATGTGCTGCTGCACTCACAGTTGCAATAGTCACATATAAAAATCAGATGCTACCGTATATAGCAAGGGAATAAAGAGTCCTTCCCTTAAATTTGGATTTAATTTAGTCTTTCATGAAGTCTTTCAGTGGTCTGAGAGGAAACACCATGCAGGCACTATAATATGGTCTCTCCTCACACTGGACCAACAGCATGTCAAATGGATCATTTCCAAGCAGACTCTTCCACTGCCATTGTCATCTCCCACCACCCATCTCCTGAGATTCCTAGTGATCCTCATGGACCATTCAGAAAAGACAGTTTTGGAGACAGGCACTACTGGGAGCACTCCCTGTTTCACCATTAGTCTCAAATGTGGCTCAGAATGCCCGTTCCATTGGCTTGGCTTGTGGAAATGCCCACGTTTGCCTTTCACAGCTCACCACACACTCCTCACTGCAGCCCTTCCCACCTGCCTTCCTTTGTGCATCTGTTTCCCACAAACATGGGGCATTGGGGAGCTTACAATAAAGCAGCATCTCTTACAGGTAAGCCTTGCTGTCCAGGTTTTCCTCTTTCTCCATCAAGCCCTTCTTGACCCTTAAATAAAAAACAGAGAGGAAACACGTCTTTGTTCTTGGGTAATTTTGTGGCAATGAGAAAGGAAAATGGAAACGTTCCACAAAGAGGAACACGGGGAAATAATTCATAACCCTGGTCTTGCTTTTGAGAGAAATCCCAGTAAGATTTTGGAAGCTTCCAAACCTCCAAGTTAACAGAGATGTTCCCATGGAAGAATCTACAGCCATGGGCATATCAGCCTTGAGTTTTGTCCAGCACTGACATGACCTCTCTTGTGCACACCTTCCCCAAGGGATCTCCTCAGCAATCACAGAGACCTTTGCTGAGGTGGTCCTGCTCATTCTTTCAGCCTCCTGTTCTCAGGCAGGTGCATGGCAGGGTGACCTGCAGGGCCTACATTTGCCTTCAGCAAAATTTTTACTGCTTTAGGTAAAGACAACTGATTTACTCCTTGTCTAAATCACAGATGACCAGGGACAACAGCGAGTTATGAATTGTGGCTGCTGGGCAGTTCTGTGGGCTGGTGTGGGCTGGAAGCACTTCCCCAAGATAAACATGCCTGAATCATGCATTTGGAATAAGACTCACAGGATAACCAGTGTCTCCAGGCTCCCCTCGATCGCCTCTGTCACCAACAGGGCCCTACAACAGCACGACAAAGACTTAAGGTGGATGTAAACAACCCATCACCTGCAGTATCTCAATGGCTTGTGCATGTTCTACAAGCAAGGAAGCAACCCAAATAATCCACCCACAGAAATCAGGCCAGGATTGTTTAGAGAAGGGATTCAACATCTTACTCTGTCTCCAGGTGGTCCCTGTGGGCCTTCTACCTTCCCGTCATCACCTTGTTCTCCCTGTGAATAAAAATGTTAATATTAATACAGACAGCAGATTTTACAGCAGATGTTTCTGTACAGACCCGATCCAGTCCTGCCGTATCATGGGCTCGTTAAGTCAAAGCCTCTGTTGAATTTACTCACTTTTCATCCAAAGAAAGACTAAACAATTTTTTTGGTTGTTTGTTTCACAGCCTGGAATACACTGAGTCCTCTCATTGCTTTCCTGGTTTCTGGTGGTTGTTTCTGCCTGGTCTAACCCTCCCCCCCTAAGGAACCAGGTGCAAAGGGTTATTTTTAACAATTCCTAAAACTAAGCAAGAAGGATGTAATTATGACAACATGGGAAATAGCTCCCTGCCTCTGAATTTTGTCGCTGACAGCCCAACCAAACTCTTTAATCAAGCATTTCCCTACCCTTGTTGAGTGCTGCCTGGGCTATCATGGGAACATGGGTGGTCTGGATGGGCTCCCTGGTTGTCTGCCACTGCTGTGGGATCGTCTTACAATCAGCCAGGTGAGAGGGTTGGCCCCTTCCACACTCCTCTCCTTGATGGGATGCTCCACAGCACAAGCTCAGAGCTCATGGTTTGGCTGGGAGATAAAATCACCCGGATTATTTATAGCTGAGGTCTCTCTAAAACATCCACAGAGAGATCCCTTAAGACTTAACAGAGACATTATCCTTTCAAATTCTGTGTATAAGTCACTCAGGGTCACGATGTCCTGTTTTCTCTGGAGTCCAGCTCAGAGATGGCTGTTTCTTTGCTCCCCATGGAAGACCATTGCATTCCGGCTCCTCCAGTTTTTGACTGCTCTGCATAAGAGTCTCTGGCCCTTTGGCTCCTCAGGATGAACATGCCTCAGAACTCATTGATGCTGCAGCTACTGGACAGAGAGGGTCTGGGGGTTCTGTCACAGAAGCTGCTGTATTTGGTGTGCTTGGGGTGCTCATAGAGCCTTGAACGTCCAAATCTCCAGACATTGAAGTGCCAAGTTTTCCACAGACTTCTGTAATTCTCAGTGGTTGCACCAACCCTCTCTGGTGTATTTACCATTCTTTTTGATGTTCTCCCTGGGTTATTTTCCTGTTTGAGCTGCAGCTGCTGGTAGTAAGGATGCTTGGGAAATGTCTTGATGATCCTGCCTCTGGGAGAAGACAATACTGGCGGAGACAAGAGCTTCTTTTCTGTGGGAACTGGGTCACAGCTTGGAATCAGGGCTGTGCCACCACTGGGAGAGACACACTGACACACACTGACTTCTCATGGGCTGAGCACCTGTATTGCCATTCACAGCTTGGTTGAATGAGGCTCAAGATTTGGAAAAATCTCTTACAGTTTGCACCTCAACAGGTAGAGTAGAGCTCAGTGCATCTCCCTCCATTATGTGCTTGATGACAGTGGCATTTTCTCTCTCCACTGCTGTGACCTGTTGGATGAACTTTGCCAGGAGTTCATAGAGACCCACTGGTTATGTCCCTAAGAGATTGTGTGCTGGGTGGGGAACTCCAACCTCCTTATCTGGGGTTTTGGGGAGCTACGGTAGTAGGAATATGTAGAGAGAAACTGTGTTGGGAGAGCTTGAAAATACAGTACTGAGCAATGTGGATGGAGAAATTTGGGTGGCAAGGAGGAGAGGATGGAAAGTAAAGCCTCACAGGCTCTGCTGATGGTTTCCAGTGCTACTGAACTTGCTGCCTGAAGTCAGAAGCAGAATACCTGGCAACTGGTTTGCTTTCTAGCCACTATCAAAGGAATGTTGGCTAGAAGGGAAACAAAGTCTCTATTTCCCAACTCTTGGGAAAAAAAAAAAATCCTAGTGTGTGTGTGTTACTATGCAGAAATCTTGGCACTGATTCATTCTTCCCAAACAGGATGTGAACACCTTTGCCATTTGGAAGCTGAGATGAGCGTGATGAACTCAAAGAAAGCTCATAATTCTGGGGACCCTTGAAGAGCATCAAGACTCATAGACTTTCTCCCCAAAGCTGAGTTGTGGCTCTGTGCCCCCTTGAGGCTAATCCCCACCTTGTCCTTGTCTTCTGCCTGAGAAAATCCTGCAGCCTGGTCAGCTCTAGGACTGCAAAACCGAGCTCCTCCAGAGCTTCCTGATGCTTCAGCTGCTCAAGAGGGAGATGAAAGGTCTGTGCTAATTCTTCGGAAAGTTGCAGTGAAAAAAAGTTAGAGTAAAGGGCAGCAAAGTAAACATGTTGGGATACAAATGGAAAATGCATGGAGAAGAAGGGAAGGCTTGTTGTTGTTGGCTCCTGTCCCAAAGTGAGATACACCAGTTTGTAATTTTTAAAAGGATCCCATCTGGACTGCTTTAAGCAGCTGCCAAGTGCAGGCGTCTGCTCTGAGCAAGGCCTCTTTGAGGAGCTGCAAATGTATTAAATGTGGTGGAGTAGCTGCCTGGTATGGCCAGGGGAGCTGGATTCCACAGTAATGCCTCTCACCAAGCTGCTTTCTTCTCTGGAGAAGGGAAGACCTTCCCCATGGTTACATATCCTCCTTCAGCACAGCTCCTTTTACCAAGTTGCTTAAAGCTCACAGAGCACTTGTGGTCCCATTTCCATTTTCTCTTAATTTCTCACATTTAGGCTTCCATGTTCACACGTGTGGGAGAGGTTACAGATGCCTTGAGGGAAGGAATCTGTCTGTCCCTAGGCTAGGATCCAGGCAACTCATGGGAGATGAGGGAGGATGGATAAGAAAACTTAGATGCAAGAGTTTTGTGGAACACCTGAATGGTGCAGGAAGCAGTGCTGGAGCCTCAGCACACGATGTTGTGCTCTCCTCACTCAGCATCTCCTTCTGCTGCCCAGCAAGGTGTCAGCAGACCTGTTGGCCTTCCAGGGAGACATGAGTGAGATCCAGCAGTCAGGGGCCATTAACAGAGCCGACTGCTCTCAGCAGGATGCATTAGATGTTTTAGTGCCCTCGTCAGGCTTCAACTTGGACACTTGCATGTAGAATTCATTTATCATAACACTGCTGTGCTCTGTTGGCACCAGATCCACTCAGGGAGTGCTCTTAGTGTCCATTTGCAGAAGAATATCTTGAGTGCTTCATTGAGTGCTTCAGATTAATAATTTGGGGATCATTTCCAACTGAAATTATGGGAGCTTTCACGATGGCAACTTTAAAAGTTTTCAAATAAA